ACTGTTTCGGCATTCCCTCGGCTGAATTCTGCAAGCCTCTCACTTTGAGTTAATTGATACTTCAGTACATCCACGATATTAAATGCTGCACACGCTTAATGAGTTCGTTCCATTATTTTTCAAAAAGGTTTGTACCAGGGCCAGTATTGAATCTAACTTGACAACATGATAATTCCCCTATTCATTTGCTTTATCCGTTCATGTACTTTTGATCTCCACATGCTTTGCTCACCTGTACCAGCCACTCACTTTGCCGCAAAGGCTGTCCCGTCCGGCGCTGGTATACTAGCATTTGTGTATGTGCGTGAATGTGCGCAGCTAACCTACTTGAGGTTCGTGCCCCGTTTGCTGAGCGTATCCTAAGTTGCTCTGCCATGAGCTCCGCGTGACAGACTTGTGTAGTTGTAGACACCATGAACGTGGATAATTGAGTTTTGTTGTACAAATTTGCTTGCCTTTGTGTAAGCAGTACCATAGACCTTCGAACCCAGTTTTTCCCTTTTGATATTCGGATTATGGAACCTACGCGTCACTCAAAATTTCGTATCGGGAACCTCAACATCCAGTTTGTCCATGTAATCATGAATTTTTTGATTCAGCGACATGAACTGGAGCGCCACAGCCTTCAAATATCAATGTACTTACTTCCTCTTCGCAGAACAACGGCAAAGCACCGTGGCTGAAGTTTTCCAGTCTAGTACTCATGGTTTTTCCATGGTAAAGTAGCTCCGAAGCACAACACAGGTGCTTTTTCTCCTGCGGCTACCGTCAACTCTGTCGTACTCTCAAGTTGTGTCAGTGACAAGCTAAACCATGGAGACTGAGTTCTCGCATTTTGGTTTACTCAATATACGTTAAGAAGTGATACTCTGTCCAGCTGATTGTCGTGTGCGCCTTATAATCAGCCGAGGTCCTTCCCAATCTCCATGGATCGCAAGTACCGAGAGTTCGGTGGAGGAATCTATCACAAAAATATAGTATTTTCGGAACACACCAAGATTGATCTTTTGTACATGGTCCTTCAGGTCTCAGTAAAGAAGCAATCGCACAGAACCATCCGGAGTGGAAAAGTTGGCAGACGCAGCGTTCAACATGACACACATGATAAGTAGCCGGGGACCATCGGTCAGCTAGTGGAGCTAGCCAGGTCAATTTGCTGATCGGAGGACCAATGAGTCCGGTCTCTTTCGCCCTTACCATGCTGGGTATAACTTTAGGTGACAAAAACACATGGTGAGAAGGCGCAAAGAGGGTCAGATTAGAAATATCGAATGAAGCAGATTGGGCTAACAGAAATTCTCAATAACATAGGGGGAGTTCGGTCATAAAACGCATGGCAAACTCATCTTGTATTCAAAAGAGTTAAAGGAAGTTCGCACCACAGATTGCGGGTGCAGTGGAACGAAAACGAACCTATTCACATAAACATAAAACCGAAGAATTAACGCAAAGAACTAACCTCATGAAGAGGAGCTCCTCGTAAAATGCATTCTTCGATATATGGGTGCGCCTTATCGGTTTCAAAGCCGTTCAAGATATCTGTTGTGCATGAAAAATATGTAGGCATTCAGGGAATTCCGAATGAAAACGGGCAAGTCTCACGGAAATCGTGAACTGTCGGGTCCTCTTGTCGGAACCAGATATATATCCAACTCCCAATAAATTAAAAAAAGTAGCAGAAGCCCCTGGACAGTGAATTGACGGCGTTCTCTAACAGTAGAGTAGCGTCTTCCTTCGCAAGAGAAGGCACCCTCGGAATATCATAAATAAATTACTATTCACGGAGCCCGTGGTAATATAGCCTACTTTAGCTTTTGAAACAAGAAGCGATAAACAGTGAGATCGTCAGTAGATACGTGAGCGCTGAGAGAAATCGACGCTATATAAATAAAGCAGGGTGCAAAGTATAACATAAATTGTCAGTTTAGCTACAACACCACCTTACCTGATAAGCACGGTAACCTGCGCTCATTACATCTTTGATAACAAACATCAGATCCGTTACGTGGATAATCTTCTTGCATGAAGCTCCACATATTTGCATACCATTACAGACGTCCGAAACAATATCACGCCAGCAGTGTGACGTGGGTGGGTCTGAAGTAATAACAGGCCATACTCAAGTCTTGAATTTGCGATCTAGAGTCTGGTGCACGCCTTGCAGCGGCACGGGTGTCTTTCGTGAATCACTTCAAAAAGGCCACTTAAGGAGGTCAAAGATAGCAATAACCACACGGAAGTAAAGAAACCTCGTTCAAATCAACATTCAGATTAATAAGTTTGAGTTCGATTACCGAACCGCTCAAAAAAAAACAGTGGATCGTAAACTTTTGAAAAGTCGTTTCANTTTGATTTCGTTACCGAACCGCTCAAAAAAAAACAGTGGAACCGAAAATTTTGAAAAGTCGTTTCAATCCGGATCGGGGAAGTTGGAAAGCTGTGCCACTGAAGCAATCCGGTTTGACAATTACCTTGTCATCTAGACAATGGCTTACGGTCAAAGTGAAGTTATCAAACGACAGGCATGAAACCGAAACGTGGGTGTTTATCACTTTCGGCACCTGGGTCTGTTTAGAGCGGCTTATCAACGGCGGTTACTATCAGCGGTTCATAAAGCGCTCAAAGTTGAGCTGAGTGCGTCTCAGTCCGTCCTAGCTGCCGAAGTCACGAACAGTTTGTCTGTCAAGTAAGCCAGAAGTTGCCCATACAGTGACGCTGAGGAAATGTGCGTCAGTCTTCCTGAAAATGGCTTTGGCTCGTGTGTGATGTGGACATGGAGTTTATGCTTTTCAACCTCATCAGACAAAATATCTGTCTATATTAATAGCTCGAGCTGGCTTCCAGAATCCCAGCGTTCACAGCGGAGAGGAATCGGCTCCAAAACGATCACCGTGAACAAATGAGAAGCGATACCTAAGACAGTGAGGTAGAACCCTATTCAGTAGAAAAAAGACATTTAGTATCTTACTAGCAGCAGGAGACCGTGTAGACAGGTTAAAATCACTACGCTGTAATCAAACAGAAAATCAGGTAAAAGGACTCTGTGTACTGTCATACATCATTCTAATAAAATTTGCCTTCTGTAGTAAAATATCAGTACATACAGGGGCCAGGTTAATCCCAGGTGCGGATGGTCATCTGAGAGGCCATGATGCCCATTCGTGAGACAAAGTTCCGTAACAAAAGGAGTAGACACCGGGATGCCCTCTATACAGACTTTCCGGATGATAACTATGTGGGAATAGAAGCTGGTTCCGCCAAAATGTTGAGTTACTAAAGTCAGCGTCTTCTTAGATACCCAGAAACTGTACACTTGAGGAAGCATTAAAAGAACGCCGAAGTTCAAGATTGCAATTCATTGTACGAAAGATCATCCTGAAGGACAGACTTTACCTTCGACTAAAGATATGTACCGAGACTAAACTACGTACCTTGTTGAGCCGACAAACTCAATATAAATTCATCTGAATTCACGTGATTTTTCAGCTGTTCGGCAATAGCCAAATCTGTATTGGGCAGATGAAAAATACGACGGATAAACTATGTAGAAAAGTGCAATCGGCATGATAGTAGGTGGAGAATTAGTCGGTTTGTTATTGTGATATGATTCTGAGAACAGCTGAGATAAGTTTTTAAAAACTCTAGAGTAGAATAATCCTAATAAACTCTATTTGACGCCGAAACAGTACTCGTGAGGTTGATGAAAATTCTGGATAGCCCACTAGTGATTCGGTCTTGGGACACATGAGGCAGGTCTAGTCCTCTAATTTCCACCAAGCGTATTCTTATCTGAACATTCATTTGTACGTACACTACAGTGAACTTCCTTTTGTAAATTAACTTGGCGTTGACAGACTCAACTGAATGTGATGTACAGAGACATACTGTCTCTGGACTGATATTCAAGATATTCAGGTGCGTCTAAGAAGTACTCATAATATCGACTGCCAGCCCAGTACCGGCTTCGGGCTTTTTGGGGATCATCATCAGATACAGCAACATCACCGTTGAGACTGGTGCTTCACTACCGCATTTCCTAGGATTATAATTTCTGTTTGTGATTTGCAAGCTTTAACCGTCAGATTGTGGAAGGTACTCACTTTATTTGCACAAATCTAGTGTTGCTCTGTTTGGTCCTTGTTGACGAAACGCTGTGGCTCATGCCTTCATCTTGATCCCTTTCTTGTCTTGGTTAATTGAACTCAAAGGTTATTGAATACCCCTGGTAGTACGCTGCCCGAAAAAGTGCATAATTCGGCGAACAATTGTGGACGTAAATACATCATCTTATGTAGAAAACGTAATGACATTTTATCGCCAGTACTTGTTCACAATGTCGTGCATCCCCTATTCCTCTTTTGCGTGAGTTAAGAGAAAGTGCCTATAAGCGAGAAGTTCATAAAAAGGGACAATCACAAACTCGAATAAGCAATTTCACTACTAGGTGGAGAGAAGCGACTGTAGATCGGAATAATCACCCATGGGCGTGTGTGATAGGTCTTTCTGCAAAAGCGATTACACGGACCTGCGAGGTGTATTCTTTGGGCTCATCATTGGTGGCAACTTATCAGAACGTTATGAACCAGGATTGCGTAGAACTTTGAGTGTTATCGTAACCAATGGGAATTTGTATGTGACGGAACGACATACTTCTTATGTATTTCATTGATCCTCTGAGGAATGTTCAAAAAACTGTCATCCTAACGAACAGTTAGTCCTGAAGAAACTACAAGAAGATACAACGGAAGGTAAAAGCTATTTTTGCAGTTTTGTTTCCGTATGGAGGTGAAATTATCCACTACGCGTGCGTCACATGGATCAACATTAATTAAAATCCCATGTTTTAGTCATGAGAAATATCGCTAACCATCCAATACCTCAAAGGACTGGGGCACTGACAGCACTTCGAGTTCTTTACTGTCGAAAACCGAAAGTGATCAAATTTCGGGGCAATTCGCTCCCCTGATTATATCTGTTTTACAGTCTCTGGCCAAGTAAAACTGATGCGTAGAGACGGATACCCCCAGGACAGTCGCTTGAAAGTGAAACTTGGCTCCTGGCTCCGATTACGGATTCATCCGAATTGAGGCTTTATACCAGAGCGAAAACCTGGGTCTTTTCCGTTGGTATTGCATAATCACCTCGTGTGTCCTATTTTTTGTGTACGAGGCAAGGATTGAGGTCACTGGAAACGAATGCACTTACGAGTTTCTAAGGCCGCTCGTGTTGATCGAATTTCAGGAAGTTGGCTGACAACTCGCTTCAATTCCGTTAATTCGGTTGCTGCTTTGGACTCCTGAGGGAAAATAGAAAAAGAACTACGATCACTTATTGCGCAATTGCACTTGCTTTGCACAACAAGTAAACAATATATGTTTGGAGGAGACATCACAACCTATCTGTACGTGTATTCTGAATGACCTCGGGCTTTGGGCTCACAGTGAGACGTGGGAAGTGACTGTATGTGGAGTCAGAGGAGGAATCTGGCCGGGTTTACAAGAACTTACAACATAATACTGTACCCCTTTTGCTAAAAATGCTTCCTCGTCGAAGGGACTAGACGCTAGAGGTTTTCAGACTCAAATATCAGTAATCCGTTTAACTTTGTGCTTGAAGCGCGCGAGATTAACTGATATTCATTTTGCGTCCATGGTTGTCATTTCTGCATTTTCGGTACCCTTTCGTTCCAAAATGCCATGTTACTTCATCGAAATAATAATCTCATTGCAGGACAATAGTAATCTAATCTTTTCACCACATTTCTGAACCTTCACCGTGTTATTAACACGAAAATTCTTTGCCAAAAAGGCAGACGGGCATCAATATCATCGTCACATTGACGTAGACTGTGGGACACAAATAGGCAGGTTGCGCGGAGTAATTATGCTCCGTTAGCAAGATCACAATAACCCCGTCAGAAAGCTCTACGGGAAGTACCAAGTAAGACAGAGAAATTCAACGATAAGTTGTAGATTAGTTGTAGAAGGGGCCTATTCACCCAATGAAAGGCGAGGGTAACATGATCATTGATGTTGGTTAGTCAACCCTAGTTATCATGAACTCTTCGTTCATTAGTATGGGACTGAGAAGTGATGGAGTGCTGTAACGTTTGAAGCCGACATGACTATAAGGTACAGTGTTGTGAGCCTTAAATGTCAACCCAAGACTTGAGGGTGAAGGTGAGGCGGGAGATTACAGTGTCCAATCACGAGCGCATTTGAATAGCAGCTCGGATGGCGAACATGACATTGTCACCTACGTTGCTTTAGTTGTCACCCGCATCAGGTATGAGTGTCATTATTTCTGAGAGAGGACACAGCTGAATTCCGACTGAATCTCTCGTTTATGAGATTCAACGGAATTTGCTACAGAAAGGCCGCCTCATGTTTCAGTTCATATGATATTTCAGATATTGCATCATATTTTCTTGACGGGGCACCACTCACAAGGTTCCTGGAAACTCTTTAACGTGGACTGCTATCAGAATAGATTATAATGATTACGGTCCTTAAGGGTTTGATGATTTTGTGCACATATTTCCACTGGCTACGCTCATTTTCACAACCGACCCAGTGGTTGTGATCGCTGGATTGCGGACTCCTGATCAACAAACAACCAGGATTAGTCGTTCGGAAGCGTGACTTCGAAACCGACAGAATGAGCTCTTCGGAGCAATACCATAGTGCCACATTTTGATTATTTCATCTGCTCTACTCCGTAGTAGCGGCTGTATTGTTTATCGGAGCTCTTAAAAATCTGGACTTTTTCTCATTCCTCGAAAATGTGAATTAGCGCGGTCAAGGTCAATGTGTTGATAAACAGAGCTTAAGCAATGTAACGACCCGTGGGACAGGCGGGGAACGAGATTGAGCCTCTGTTCTATAAAGGATAAAATGGCATAAGGTAAACACACCCGGAGTTCAGATGCTACCAAATAGATGGCACGGTTCTGTTCTATGCAGTGAGGTTTATATAAGATGCCATTGCCGAACGGACCTCAGACGCAGAAATTCACACTCCAAAAGACAACAGAGAACTGTAAACCTTCCCAACAGTAGAAAACAACAAGCCCTCGGAAACACCACTTCAGATAACATACCGACAGCAGCGCCGAGATGTCTTTGGACTTCTTGTTTAATATGGAGCCAACGAATGCAAAATTCTGATCACGAAGTTCGGCGAAAAGTTCATCACTGGCGTTGAGCACCAGGCGCTTAGACTGCTCCGAAATTTTGCCTGTCCCCGTGGGCAGATAACACGCACCTAAAACAACACAGCGCCACCAAAGCCTAGACAATTACAAAACTCCATCGAAAACAGGTTAAACTTGGAAGACAAATGGATAAATGGTGCAAAAAACAAACTAACAACCGTGCTTTCTATCCTGTTCTATAAGGATGCAGTTAGATGATAGGTTGTGTATAAAGTGGATCGTAGCCCATTCTTTCGGCAAATGGTGTAGGTTCCTGACCCAAAGAGACTTAAGAAGGGAGAGTTGTAGCCAGCGATTATGGGACGGAGACGCAAAAGTTCACGTGCGGATGTCTCCTGATGCTGAACAGCTGTTTACGGTAGGCTCAATGGGCGTTAAGCACAGTACTACCGAGTATCAAGGCAATTCAAAGCAAGATAAAGCCTGCTTGTTCATTCATGAGTACTATTTCGAGACAGTCCCGTCGAGGCCTACATAATACTTAAACCAACAACCAACGGCTCTAGGTAGCCTGATAAGCCACCGTTTGCTATCATATCGGTCGGTCTCTCTAAGTTCTCAGCACTGGTTCATTCTTTGGCAAATCCTAAAGCAGTGCGCGACTCATCATAGTAACAGACATGTCCCCAGATGTTGCAGTTGACCAAATTACGTAATGTTCATTGGCAGATGTAAACATGCGGCTATAATGAACGAGAATTCAGCAACCAGAATTGCAATAGCTAATTTAAACAACGTGCATACATTGGAATCTAGGTGCGATGTATCAACACAATGATAATCACGAAAGTCAATGTGTCTTGCCAAAACTTCGTCATGCATAGAGGGGCTACCACGATAAAGGAAACAAGTATAAAGCAGAACTTTTCAGTGGTGAACTCGAAAGGTACACACGGTAGCGTTATGTTGAGCGACAGTAGACACATGAGGAGATGCGCTGAAATAGGTCCAGACGGTTATACGGAACAACAGTGAGTGCCAACGTCAGGTGAAGAATAACCGATACAGACTGCCGTAGTCGAAAAGACGAAGTTCTACCATATTCGACACCCGCGGGGCGGGTCTGAAATCAAACGGCAGTGATTGATTCAAGGCCGGAGAGTTCTGACAAGTTATCGTTCAGTTTGATGCACTCTAGAATACATCTGCACGGCGTTGCACCCATGAGGCAGAATGGGCAACACTCATAAGTTACGCACAGAGTTGATTCGCCAAGAGAAATAAAACTAATGATACACGTCAAAAGTGAAATGTGGATTGAAAACGGAATGCATGGGTTTAGCGTCGGCATATTATTTAACTACTTTCATTATTTCAACTATGTGATCTACCTTCGGTGTTATCTTAACTTGCTGTCACCTAGCGTGATCGGATATTCTTAGCTATGTCCGATCATGAGAGCCGATATGTGGGTATGAATAAATAAACCATGTTGTTGACAATATCTGTACACGGTTACAAAGCTTGGAGGTCAGTAACGTACACAGCAAGACTCACCGTGGCGTATTCCCCATTTCTCACTTATCAGGCCTTCGTAGGTGAGCTGGCTAAGCATAGGAGTCAAACAATCCACGGATCTATCCAATAGGATCAGCATCTCAGTTTGACAGTCCACTTCAGTAAGCGGTGTCTTATCCGATTTGCTGCCAAGGTTCGCTTCAGCTTCACGCCGCATTCGGGTTAGCATCCTAGCGACTTCCTATAAGGAGTGCGATTTTGCAGTTTTGAAGGGTGAACAGGTGGTACAGAATATAGCTTTTGGATTTTCAGTACTATAAAAGTCGTATAAAGTCGTACAAAAGCAAGGTATGTATATGGGGGTGGATCACAATTTACTAGGAAGATCCTAAAACATACGAAACTTGGCAGTAGTTTCCCACTTCATCGAAATCTTTCTGCGACCCTATCAGGCCAAACAACTTGTAATCCTAAATTATAAAAATTGAAGCGTACCGAGGCATGTCACCACTTGGCTGCAATCGGTCGTTCCAAACCAGATTGCTGAGCCCTTCCTTCTCGTGCTGTCAAATGCGATCTTATGAATCAAGATCGTAGCACAGATACATACGACACAGACACAATGTGAACTGAAATGCACCATGTGCCCTGTCGAACATAAAAGCAGAGCAAAGCTCTAAACCGCCAGTGAAATCAGATGATTGGTATTGGACGAATTTGACATGGATGGTTACTTAACGACTGACCAAAGCGTACGTGAGAAATGGAGACGAAAGTCATTTCCCTCAGCTTTTAGCTGCCATCCGCTATTGTGCGCATCAAAAAAATAGAGGAAAACTTAGGTGCACCGAGCTGTCAGCCAAACTCATCGCACAAATACGACTCGTTGTGGGAATTCGGCCAGTAAATCGCCTTCAGCCCACGGGCTGAGTACAGCTTTCACGTTACAGACACCATGATCGTTCATGAACATCACTAAGAACCATGACAGAGATGCGTGATAAATCTAGGTCCACGCTAAACAATTTAAGGTGTACGGCTGAGTTGAGGCCTTGTGTAAGTGTTTTTGGGATACAGGACACATAGACAGAAAAAAGCAGGGTCTGAGCAAAAAACCTTATTGCTAAGTTTGACAGTCGGTCCACTTTACTGGGAGAAATTTAGAACCCAAAGTAACGAGTAGATAATTAATAGTCACATAAATTAGGATGTCTTGGTTGAGACGCGCCAGCGAACGAACAGCTATGAGGGTTAACTTGCAGTATTAAAGGTTGTTGCACTTCCCCCAAATACTCCTCATAGGTCTTTCTGGCAAGGCTAAACCTTGAGGAACTAAGGTTTAGGTAGTATAACCTACCGGATCACTGCGGTACTCAGAACCGACCACCAAACTATTAGTGGCAGCTATATTTCGGAAATGATGCAGTTATCACCACTTCTGAATCAAGTAGGCTGTCTTAGTCACCCGGCCAAAACCACTGATTGAAGTGGTCGACGCAATACTACAACAATGTCGCACTTGTTCTGGTTTCCAAACTTTGAAACCAGGCAACTGTCCATGTCAGACCTTTGTCCACCAACGTCTGGTACGACACTGCGGACCAACCCTCTAACGTTGCTGAGGTATTCGAACCGTTGCACCGCAGTAAGACCAAGTCTTTTCTCAATGGTAGTTCGTTCATTATGCAAACCTAGTTAAATGGTAAAAATGTGGCATCATCAGAAACGCGCACCAAATTCCACATGACGAGCCTCTATGCTGCGATGCCCCCTTATCATTCTCAAAACAGCTGTCTGCGAGTGAGCGTGCAACTGAGGGACGCACATTCACGTGTAGTATGGAAGGTAAAGTCTGCGTGCGTATTAAAGTCTCACCATTCTTTGCTGTGAACCTCAAAACCACAGAGTGCCCAGCTCACCAGCTGATATGCAACTCAATCAGCGTGAATATTCTTCTCGAAAACATTCCAACCCAAGGATCACAGTGCAGACTTTATGTAGAGCAACCCAAATTGGCCAAATGTTAGTTTGTTCCTCTACTTCATATAATTCCAGTTTGCGAATACACGTTATTGGACGGCACTGAATAACTCGGTGTCCGTTTTAAATTACGGCCTATTCTGAACACTACCTTCAAGCAACAAGTCTGTGAAAATTGACGCGTATCGATGTCTGGTTCGGGTAGCTCGATAGAAGCAGATTCACTGATTGAATATCGCGTCATCCATTCAAACTCCGAAGCACATACTGCCCACACTAATTAAGACTGGAAGTGAAAGTGTTGACACCATAGATGTCTTCTCTTTATTGTATGCTAACAATTACATTCAACCAAAGATAGTGCGCAGTGGCAAGATGAAGCCGTATAGCGAAATGGACAGGAGTGATTCGTATTAGAGGGCGTGTGATCGATTGTTCCACTGTCACGTAGCCGGGTTAACTCAAACGCCCGTAGTTCACCGTCGGCTGGTCCAAACAATAGTGACTTTATGAGGTCATGAATTTAGCACAAAAAATTTTGCACACTTCGGATCAAATGGTGAACTTTTCTTTCTTTCGATCACATATCTTCGTTCTCCTCGGGATTAATACCAAACTTTGGGTTAGCTAATTGGGCGATTTGAATTTAAAATTCAAGGAATTTGTAACCAATCGGAACACAGGACACACGTGCTCCAGGAAGTCAAAGCAATGAAGTAGGAGCTTTAATTCAAGTGTAGCCACGCGAAAAATGCAGAAACTTAATGCTGTCTTCGTGGTCTCTTATTTTCGCGGCTTTGGGTCCTGGTTCAAGCCCAGTTGGTGACTAAAAGCTTCATAATAGAGAAAAATAAGCCGATAATTGTGTTCCGAAAACTTTATGATAAGCGCTTGCTGTCGTTTATCTGTAAAATTCAGAGAAAATTTGCCTTTTTTAAGCAGGGAGTGTTTGAACAGTATTTCTAGAATTTTGAGTGAGTGCACGCTGGCGTTCATACAAGCATTCGAAATGACAATGACAAATGACAGACGGATGACATGCAGAAAATGGGAATCCTTCCATAACACGGAACGTACCACAGCTTTGTTCCCTTTGGCACGGATTACTGGAAAAAGACCGAAGATCGACTGGAAACGTAACAAACCCTGGACAAGCTGATAGATTCCCTGTTGCCTCTGTGATATGCTATAGGTCTATGAGATTGTCGATTAGATAGGATCAACGGGAAACTTACAGCAAAACAGCTTGGATCTTCCATGGAAACGAGGTCTGAATCGAGCGGCAAAATAGTGAGCGGGAACTCATATATTGAACTGAACTTTTTCAGAACGGCCTTCTCGCCCAAAAAATTCTTACAAGCATAAGAAAAGGATGGTATCGCAATGATGTGATACTCTTTGGGGGAACCCTGAAAAATTCGTATGTCTCTGGGACAATAAAGAGAGGTGGCATCACTCACCTAGTTACAAATGCTTGAGTGCAGTCCACAACCTTTACGTTAGAGGAAAGAATGAAAACAATAGATTTGCACTCCGGTGGAGAGCAAGAATCCTCTTTTGCCTCCAGTAGAAATGAATGCGAGACCCCATGTTTCTGCAACAATTATTCGACCATAAAAATGGTGACTGACTTTCAAAACTGAGTGTCCGACAATCAGACTGACTGATGCCATCAACCGCTTTTCCCAATACACGGCCTTAGGATTTTATGAATGGAAATACAAATCATATACTTTGGGGCTCGGCATCATATCTATCTGCCGAAGAAACTCATTTTGGTAACTGTTCTTCAACTCGGTCAGATTCACTGGACCCGTTGGCAGCGGATCCATTTTCAATGTACCAGTAATGTTCAGCAGTCTTCTCCAAAATATCGCTCAAAAAAAGTGTCCCAAAGTTTACATAAGATAACCTTATCTGAACCGCTAGGTAATAGAAGTGACGAGCCCTGGCAACAGGGGTTCAACGAAGACGAAAAAAGTCTGGGGAAAAAGTAAAGATATGAATTTACCTGAAACACAAAAACCAATTATAGATAAACGGAAAACTTTCATTTGGTATCAGTGAAATGAAAGGTGATACTTCATTGAGTGAGATTTTGCGCTTTTAATAAACTCTTACCTTCCAGTAGGAGTTACCACTCGCGACAGCATTATGAAACACGTTCACGTCCATTTTCGGCTTCTCGCTACTTCTTGATCGAGTGATTGCTGCGCGGCCGTGGCAGCAAGCAGTACCGANTGAACCGCTAGGTAATAGAAGTGACGAGCCCTGGCAACAGGGGTTCAACGAAGACGAAAAAAGTCTGGGGAAAAAGTAAAGATATGAATTTACCTGAAACACAAAAACCAATTATAGATAAACGGAAAACTTTCATTTGGTATCAGTGAAATGAAAGGTGATACTTCATTGAGTGAGATTTTGCGCTTTTAATAAACTCTTACCTTCCAGTAGGAGTTACCACTCGCGACAGCATTATGAAACACGTTCACGTCCATTTTCGGCTTCTCGCTACTTCTTGATCGAGTGATTGCTGCGCGGCCGTGGCAGCAAGCAGTACCGATAGGCCCACAACTGCCATTACGGTTACAAGACTATAATACCAATACTAGTGGTACCACGTATGTCCTCCAGCCGTAATCAATGACCCCCCGCTGATCCATGAGGGATCGGAGATAGAGTAGAATGCTATGAATTTCGCTGTGCCATTGAAAAGCATTTAGACGAAGGGAACAAACACACCTCTTAACGACAATTTGGCCGAGACCTCTGTGCTATGACGAAAAGACTATCACATGTATTACCAGTTAATTTCGAGGTTAGTGGGCAGGCTAAATCCCTTTATGTGGTTCTTAGATAGAACAAGCGATGAAGTATAACTTCGTAGACTAACTTTAGTGCTTACGCCACCGACTGATGGTTGGTACGGATAATTTAAAAGTTTGGCAAATGAAAATGCTCGAAGCTTAAGAAACCGAAAAAAAGCGTGACACCTAAGTAGTGATGAGTGTCAAAATATAGCGAAAACTACTGACTCAAAGAGAATAATGAAACCATCTACCTTAGTGAATCTTTTCACCATATCGATGGAGATGATATCATGAGGTCTGGGGTTAACCCCATTCAATCTTGCAATGTCACTTGATGCTTTGGAAATGCAAGGCAGATGGTCAATCACAAGGCCAAAATAAGTAAATTGAGGGGAGCTGGCCCAAGAAATGACATTAGCATAATCAACCTGTGAGTACACCCCTGAAGCACCTCCGTACCGAAGAGTCAGAGGAGCAAAATATAAACCAGCTGAACAAGGCTGATAAAAGACAGTCCTGCCTAGGGCTACTGGGTGTGGTAGTTCTCGGATGGAGCCTTGACGTGAGTTCATGAGTCCGTGACAGTAAAGTCGTTCAGCTGCAGCACCCTTTCGGTGCCTGACTACCATGCCACCAGGAGGCACGAGGACTAGGATACTGCCAGGTTGCCCAAGCCTAGACAGGAAAAGTCGAGAGGCAGTGGTCTCATATGTAGTGCTTTTAAGAGACAAGAATTTTGACTCCGCCACTGCATCTGATGACTAACGAAATCGAACACAGCCTTCAATTTTGGAGAAACAACCATCGTTGAACACCCTTACGCATAAAGATATTCAAGCACATGTAATGATGGGATCAGAGCATTCTCCACCAGGGCGAAACTCGACTTGATCCTCATGCACTTGACTCTACCGGTGAAAGGAAGAAGGCCCTTGCTG